ACGGCTCAAAGATGTGCAGCGAGCAAACCACAGCATCCACCTTTCTGCGAGCAAGTGCAAAGCTCTCCGACGAGCTTAACAACCAAATATATTGATAATAGAGTCTGATTCACATTTGACTTCTAGAAGTGCTGTTGATTTAGTATTATATTCTCAGCTGAGATATCTACAGACTTGTGAAACGCTGTTTTAGTGATGCTCTGGATGAACCTGGTCTCCTCAGGGTAGTTAAACAATTGCTCCGTTACACTTCAGTACAACTAGCATGTGCCCAGAGAGCATGAATTTATATTGAAGTTGCCTTCAATCAGCTTTCTTGAAGGAAGAGGCTGTTTAGCAGAATATTGAACTTGATATTACATATTGTCTTCAAAATTTCAGATCTGGTGAAGTTTCGTGTTGGTTTAAAAAGTTTTAAGATTCAACCCGAAAATTTTTAACCATCCTGTGATCAACTGAGTGGCAAAGTGTTAAACGTACTTAACGCACAATCCATGTAAGCAAAACTTAACTATGTTAAAGCAATTTCACAGCAAGTGACAGATGTGTACAAGCTCAATGAAAAGTATTTAAGTCTAAAATACGTAACTTCCAGTCACTGTGAATCTCCAGCATGTCAGCACAATCCATATTCATTGCAACTCATCAACTCCATACTAAACATACAAGTCACAATAATGTATGGCATGCTGCCCATTCCTGGTCAGCTGAATTAGCATTATAAAACCAGCAAAACAGAAGAAAATACCTTAGGAAGTCACATATGGTATAAAGCCTCACTGAAATTATTATTCAGAGGCAAGGAAATTTGGATAGCTGTTCCATACTACCTTACACTGCTGTGCCAAGGATCTGCTAACTGGTGCTCTTGCATGTTTTAGGAAGTTGGTTTGATCACTGGACAATATTTACTGAAGTGACGTGCATTTTAGTGCCTGCTTGTGTAGGTTTATCGTTCATCCTGGAATCATATATCAATAGCATCCTATATAGGCCACCAGGATTCCCAGTAAGAGGCTGGCTGGAGCGGGAAGATACAGCCCTGCAGGCTGAGCCATATGAATCCCATGGTGCCTCAATATGCCTTGTAGAAGAAGGCGTCCTGTTTGAAGGACGTTTCAGGTGGTTCTTCCTTCTTGAAAAATGCTGGACAATATTTCTAACGGACTTCAATCCCATAATACCTACTACATGTGCAATCAGTGGTCTTTAAAGTAGCCTCCATGGAAACTTCAGAGGGTCTAAGTGTGTCTCCAAGGCCACGCAGATTTTGAGATGGGGGTAACAAGTGACACATGGGCAAGAGGAGACAGCAGTGCTGTGCATTTTGATGGGCCAAAGAAAATAGATGGGGACACGCATGCCTAGAGGCACACCCCACTTGCCTGCAGATGGGCGTGTTCTCCATCTCCTCTGCGACTTCTGCTGGAGACTCCTGCCACCTTCTTCTCCCAAGTTTCAGAGACTGGCGAGGGGCAACCCCGGGCTCCCCTCCTGGGCAGAGAACGAAGGGGGCGGCTGGAGGGTGGGGGAGAGGGAGGGAGAAGGGG